TGTATTTTTGTTTTTTGTACTTATTTATATATCTTAAATGTACTTGATTTGATCAAAAGAATTAAACTAGATAGAGATTATCGTGGGTGGTCGAAAAACTGCCTAAAAAAAGCTATTTTTATAATAGACCGTAGGCGAGACGAGGCGGTGGCGAGGCGAGGCGAGGCAGCGATGGTTAACTCGTCAGTATGGTGAGGCGGTGGCGAGGCATTTTTTTGGCTGACTCGCCGATCTCTGATATCAATCTGTAATACTTGGAAAAATAATCAAAATATATAATAAAATCTATATACTTTGAATTCTACGTCAATTCCTAAATATGCCTTAGTTTTATTTTAACTTCAAAATGAGGCATATTATTTCAATAAAATATACGAATTTATTTATAAATCGATCGATCGATTAAAGAACGTTATATATCGATCTACATTAACATAGAATTGAGTTATAAATATAAATTTTTTTTTTCTATTTATTCATTTTAGATAAATTATTTAAATTTTGACCGTATTTTATTATAATCTGGGTTCGCAGCAGCCCTTCAAAAATATATAGGAATATATAGGAATTGTTAGATCTCAAATATATAGGATCGTCCTCGGATATATAGGAAATATATAGGACGCTAATATTTCGTTTAAAAACAACTAGACATGTAAAAATCACTACTGCAGAATGATAGGTGATGTTCTTATAACGTACCTCGACTCACCTAAATAAAAATACAGCTTCGTTATGAAAAACAGTAGTATGGCAATATTTTATACAAAGACAAAAAGAAATAATTTATGTTCGATTAACCTTCAACTATATCACAGCTACATTCAAGGAGGAAACAGGTGAAATCAGATTTTTTTGTTGATTTTGTTGATTTTCCTCTTGATTTTTCTACATTAAAACCAACTGATTTAAAACGAAGAAGATAAGAAAAATCAAAAAAAAACAGAAAAATTTAAAAAAATCGGAAAAATCCAAAGAAGCGAAAAAACAGTCAGATTTCAACTGTTTTACTCTCGATTGATATTTTCAAGCACAAAGATTAAAAAGTTTACCATTTTCATTGATTTGTCTGATGTTTTTGATTTTCATTTTTGATTTAAATCAAAAAGTCAGTTTTTCCTCCCTTGCCTACATATCATAAAAGTATTATAAAATTGATTGAGATAAAGATCACAAAAATGCTTTCTTTTAATGTAAAGAAAACAATCGATATCTTTTGTCAAGACTATTATAGTTTCTAACAGTCTCAGAGCTATATAATCAAAATGTATACATATTTAAAGCACAGCAAAATAATCGGTTTAGTAACATATAGTCGATGCATTGGTAAAAGTTTTCTTCGTTTCTGATGCTACTTGAAAATAAACACCACTGTTTCTAGTACTATCAAACATAATAGAATCACTTTTTAGCTGCAACTTTCTTTAAATTTTCTTTTGTCTTAATATCACTTTTTTTGAAATAAAATTCATCACAAATATATAGATTAGCATGTGCTCTTTCACTGTTTATTGCAATAACTACTGACGAAACACATGTAAATCTATACATTTGTGTTGAATTTTATTTTTTTAAAAGTGATATTAAGATGGAAAAAATTTAAAGAAAATATTGTCCTTAGTGCTTTATATTATGTTATGAACGCCGCTGATAATATTTAAACAACATGCTAGGCACTTATTTGAAGGAAATATGGTTCTTTCCATAATAATCTTTGGAAGTGACTATGTACACATATGTGTACATAGCTGACTGACTATATACACACAAGTGTATATAGCTGACTGACTATGTACACATATGTGTATATAGCCCTTTGGCTATGTACACACAGGTAGATATACCAATATATTAGTAAATATGAAGTCATATTATAGTATTATATGTTTTTGTTGATTTATATATATTAAATATTTAAGCTTTTTCATAATTTTAGTAATTCTTTATTACATACAAATAAAGTATAAGTCAAATAAAGATCAACAACTCAACAGCATATCTAGTGCTTTCTCTCTTTGGTTTTAAACGAAACAATTAAATTTCATTATTTTCAGTATATTTAACATAATGATCACGTAAAAGATATCTGATCATAAAACATTAAAGATGGAACATCTCTATCTCTAATGCTTTATCTGTTTAAACTGAATAATTCTTATAAACTTTCTCATTTTTGGATCGTTATGAGTTAAATTTTGATTTTTCATAAAAACAATTTTATTTAATTCCGTATAGCGTTTTAAAACAAGTAACGCTCGTCTATGGACTCACTTAGCTCTTTCTCGTAGAAGAACTATTTTCTTATTATCAGCAAATTATTCATTTGGTATACATATGTTATTCATCTCTGGCTCACTCATATCCCTGCTCTCTAAATCACTGAATCATTCCAATCGAGCCCGTAATCAAATCACTCGTTCTTGATTACTTTTGATGAAGCTTTATACAATAAACTAATAACTATTAATTAATTAATGAATAGCTAATTAATGGAAACGGATCACAGATTTAGACTCTTCATCGTTGATTACCTATGGTGAATTTTTATTTAAAATAATAATGATTAATAATTAGGTAACAACTAATTATTAATTAATTAATTAATTAAACCTGATATCAGATTTGAATTCTTTACCTTCAATAACCCGCAGTGAAGTTTTACGAAAAATAATAATAATTTATAATCAATTAATATTTAGCTAATAATTAATTAGTGATAAGTTAGCTAAAACTGAGCTCAGATTTGGATTCCTTATCTTCGATAAACTTTGGTCAAGTTTTATAGAAAACATTAATAATTAATGAATAGTTAATAATTAATTAATAATCAGTTAAAACTAGTCTTAGATTCGAACTCCTCATCCTCGATTACCCTTTGGTCAAGTTTTATGGAAAATAATCCTTTTTGTCTTCACCTTCTTTTGGACCAATCACTGAAGTGCGAACATACAAGTAAGCAAACAAACAATTTATTCTCACAAGACTCTTCTCTACGAGAAAGAGAATAAATTCACAATATAATCGAGCCGATTCTTCGTTTGGTCTTGATTCATCTTTTATATGTCTTCGAACAGGACATCTATAATGACATACATACATTACATTTTGGTATTGAACATAGTTAAATGATTCTCTCGTTATTTGTTCATTATATTTCATTGAAGAACGTTTTATATTCATTGGTTGATAACAATTAATGCACCAATTTCTAAATTCTTTCCCAAAATGTGCCCAACTATCAAACTGCTTTTTAAAGAGAGAATAATTATCTTGCTTTATTTTTCTGGTTGAAGAATTACGATAAGCACGAAACAATATACTTAGATTTAACTATAATAGCAACATATACCTTTCTGTAACAGCCATTGAGAATGATTATGATAGACTTTTTAATAATATAAGAGGATTTATTTAGTACTATAAATGAGGCTATATGAAATCGGTCCATTTTATTATAACAATTATCAATTCATTTCATTTCATTTGAAAAACTATTAATTAGCTCGATAGAGAAAAAGATTAAAGTAAAGATTAATCAATCTATCTTAATAAAGGTTATGTTCTCAGATGTCAAGTTATTTGACTTTTTCTATTTTTCAGTTTCCTATTTTTAAACCAATCAACTAAGAAAAGAAGATATAAAATTTTTCTTTATATAAGTGATCGACAAAAAAATATGATATAATGAAGAGGAAAGATAAGCGCTAACACTAGATGGTTATCATGTATTCTATTTAAAATAATGAAATTCAACTGTTTCGTTTAAAACCAAAGAGAGAAAGCACCATAAATGCTGCTGAATTATTGATCTTTATTTGACTTAATTTTTTTTCTATATGATTTATACTCTATTCGTATGTAATAAAGAATTAATAAAACTATGAGAAAACTTAGATAATTAATTTATATTAATCAACAAATACATGTAATATTATAACATGACTTCATATTTACTAATATGTTGATTATATCTACCTGTGTGTACATAGCCAAACGGCTATATAGACACATGTGTATATAGTCATTCAGCTATATACACATATGTGTACATAGTCACTTCCATAATCTTTAATTTTTTGAAAAATATAGGAATATAGGAAAAAAGCTCAAAATATAGTCTATTATAGGACTAACTTGAAAAATATAGGAAATATAGGAAATATAGGACGACTGCGATGCCAGATTATAATTAAATAAATAGAATAGTTGAAAAAGAAAAGAATGATATGTGCTCTTATAGTAACTGTTTAATAATAATATTATCTTGAATAATCTACTCATAGGGTATGGGTGTTTATCTTTCTCTCATTCACACCCAGACCTAAACAGGCTTTTTTTCGATTTTTTTTTTGAAGAGGAGAAGAATGTGATTAGCCTCTTCTCCTTGGCACTGTCACTAGAAAATAAAAAGGTAAAAGTTCATTTGCAGCCATTTAATGAGATTGATAGGACGTCTACAACCCATAATACAGTAATCACTATGAGGATATCACAAAACTACAGTTGTACCCAAATTTATTATTAAAGTTTTCATATGATGATCATAAAAAAACACTCGCGAGTAATTATATGCACATAAACTCATCGTTGGGTTTTATATTGTAGATGATAAATTAAACATGCACAAGCAAAAAAAATAAAGTGTTCAAATATCGGATTCTGTATCAAATTTCCAAGAAAGAAAAATTCATATAGCAAAATATTAAATTATCTTCATCAACAGTATAGTGTCAACAATTGAAAATCGTAATAATAATCATCTATTTTTAACTATGAATTGATCTGTACATACATGACATCTATCGTTTACTTTCGTCCAAAAGACTATTTTAAGCATCCAATTCAATTAAATAGTTAACATCAAGTTCTCAAATGAGTCAGTCAAATTCAGGAGAATATTTTTTCCTATCAATGTTCTTTTCTTTTTCTGAAAACAGGCAAATCTTAATATTAACTTTAATATTTTAGATTAACAAATGTTATTTAAAAATATTTTTTCAATGAATCAAGCAATACGTTTCTTATCTATCCAACAGAAAAATAATATTAAATTTTTGGATTCATCATCAATAAAATTAAATTTAATATTAAAGAAAATGTTTGATTCAAAACAATACAAACAAGCTTTTGAACTTGTTGATGAAAAATTTGATACATGCACAGATATAACAATTGCTTCGGCAATTAAAGCTTGTGCTGTATCAAAAGATTATACACGTGGCATTAATATTCATCGAAAACTATCACCAAATTCAATGAATAATTCTTATATTCAAGGATCATTAATTCAATTTTATAGTGAGTCATTTATTTTATTAATCACAATAATACTATATAATAAAGTAAATATATGAATATTCTAATGGATGAGAATTTTTAATTTTAATGAAAAATTCCATTTTTTTACATCTTCTCGCCGGAATAAGATTTACATAATTACAGATTTCATTTAAATAAATGAAACATCTTCAACCGCTCACAATCGATCAAAAAAAAAAAAACTTATTGTTTCCATTTCAATAGAAAAATAATATTCTTTCATATTATTTTCACTTAAACTACTGACAATCATTAACTATCAAATATGTCAAAAGTTACTGGAAATTTTTAATCAGATTTTGAGACTGATTTTATTTCATGAGGCAAACATAATAAAAAAAAAATCATAGACAGGAGAGAGAGTGCAACATTTTCTGATTATTTATATTAAACATTAAACAAGAACATAATCATATCCTTAGCAATTAATATTAGTTAGCAAAGCCACAACAAGTACACAAAGGAAAGTTATTGTACTTGCACTTCTAGTTAAGTACGAAGAGAGAACTTGTTACGATGGCTCCCTGAACATGAAACATATAGGTTTTCAAATGCTAACAAAATATATTCTCTATAGAATCTCGTTTGATACCTGTAGCATTCGATGTAGTACGTGTAGTATGACATCTCTCGTACTAACTTGAAGTATTTGTACTCTGATAAAATGATGGAAATATTTCTCTTAAGTTAGAAGTTTATGTAGCAAGTACTCTTGCCAAAGTTGAATAATAAGCACAAAGTACACCGAATAAATATCTACATTTGTAGTTTTATTAAACGAAAGAAGTACGAAAAGTTGAAGTAAATTGTCGTCATATTAGAAGACTCACCTTCGATAAATGAAGCAAAAGACATATTCAAAGGCTCTTTCCTTGTGTTTCCGATCGTTAGAAAAACAACTTTTAAAATTAATATCTACAACTTATCGACTCTCCTTAGTGTTTAAACTCGTACTAAAATCTAAGTTAGTTCAGTATAGATAATATCGTGCTGATCATTAGTATGGAAAGTCAGTTCAAAGTTATAGAGATCTTGAAATGTAGCTAATAAAAAATATTTACCAGTTCAACAATGAATTTCTTCAAAGAGATAATATCGTATAATCATTTTAATTATCATTCGAAGCTTACTCTGAAACAATTCTTAATGGTTTTTATATGAAAGAAAACCCTTGTAGTCGCTAGATATAATAGACGTATTGTACATTCGAGCGTGGAATACACAAAAAAAAAATTTTGTAAAAGAGTAAAATATTAAGTAAATTTTCGTCGTATATCAATTAAAATACGTCTGTAATATTGACTTTATTATAAAAATTCAGAAAAATTCTTATCACAAATTAATCTTTCATAATAGAAGAACTATTAAATTCATATGTGCACGTCAAGATTTTATTCTATGAATAATTCTTATTAGTCAACGAATGTATTTCTTTGCTTAATCATATATAAAGAAATTTTTTGAAACAACACAAAAGAAAATATAGAATGTATATTCAATTGTCGATTTTCTCTAAACTATTCACCAGAAAACCGTATTCATAGAAATTACTTTCTGAGAAATGGCTATACTAGTGATAGATATCATTGTGAATGCATTATTATCTATACTAATTAGATTTCAACATAAGCAACAACCACCTTAAATAAGTTTGACAAGAAAAAAACTTTTTGTCTTTATTTTTAATTATTCAATTTTTGAGTAGGTATAATATTGTTAGCAGCACATTTTATTCTTGAGAAAAAAAGCATGCCATTGGATATTGTAGTGAGACATTGATTGTATTCTTCTTAGGACACTTCATATCAATGATAATTTTCCTTTCTTCGAAGAAAAATGTGTCTGTCTTTCTTGTTGTTCGAATGTAAAATAATGTCGTTTCCTAATGATGCATTAGGCAAAAATGTCTTGAAACTGAAGTTTGGTCAGACTAGCAAAACTAATTGTTTTGATAAGCATAGTAGAAGACGTCAGATAACTTGTGAACGACAAGATAGATAACAAGACCTGAGATCTTCCAATATATCGATGGCCATGGAAATAGTTTCTTACGAGGTGCAATCCTCAGTGCAAACTTATATTGATCATGTTGTTATTACTTTTAGTGCAATGTGGTGATACTGTCAATGCAACTCGTCTATTCTCAAAAATTACAAATAAATCCAACTATATCTACACAACTATGTTCAAAGGTTAGTGTTTCTTTTGCGTTTTACTTGTGATGTAGTTGTTTTAAATAGGTCTCATCTATAACAACATGCCCGAAAAAGTGCTTAATTTATTCGACGAAATGACAATTGAAGCTAACAAGTACACTCTTGCTGTTTTATTTAATGTCTGTGCTGAACTTGCCAACGATCGAGCAATAAAACTAGGGAAAAAGCTTCTTGATAAAATGCCTGAAAATCTTCGAAATGATAATATTGTATTAACTTCAGCAATACATATGTTAATGAAATTTGGTGATATTCAAAATGCTGAAAATCTTTTTCAATCAATTAAAAAAAAAGATATTATTACTTATGGTGTTTTGATGAAAGGTAAAGTGTATTAAACAGATTTTGAAATATTTCTAAGTTTCTTTTTTAAGGATATGTTGCAAACCAAATGTCAGAAAAGGCTCTGGATTTCTTTGAACAAATCAATTTCGAATTAGATAAAATTACTTACATTATTGTTTTTAATGCCTGTGCTGAACTTGCTAATAATCGAGCAATTAAAATAGGAAAAACACTTTTGAATAAAATTCCTCAATATTTTCGAAATGATAATATTGTATTAACTTCGGCAACACATATGCTAATGAAATTTGGTGATATTCAAAGTGCTCAAAAGCTTTTTCAATCAATTCAAAAAAAAGATATTATTAGTTATGGTGCTTTGATGAAAGGTAAAGTGTACTATAGAGATTTTGGAATATTTCTAAGTTTCTATTTTAGGATATGTCGAAAATCAAATGTTTGAAAAAGCTTTAGATTTGATTGAACAAATTAAATTAAATTTAAATAATGTTGTTTATACAATTGCTTTTAATGCCTGTGCTGAACTTGCTAATGATCGAGCAATGAAAATAGGGAAAAAACTTCTTGATGAATTGCCTCAAAATCTTCGAAATGATAATGTTATATTAACTTCAGCAATGCATATGTTAATAAAATTTGGTGATATTCAAAATGCTGAAAATCTTTTTCAATCAATTGAGAATAAAAATATTATTACTTATGGTACTATGATGAAAGGTAAACTATATTAAACAGATTTTGGAATATTTCTAAGTTTCTATTTTAGGATATGTTGAGAATCAAATGTCAGAAAAAGCTTTGGATTTATTTGAACAAATTGAATTAGATTTAAATAATTTTGCTTATACTATTGTTTTTAATGCCTGTGCTGGTCTTGCTAATGATCGAGCAATTAAAATAGGAAAAACACTTTTGAATAAAATTCCTCAAAATTTTCAAAATGATAATGTTATATGGAATTCAGTAATACATATGTTAATGAAGTTTGGTGATATTCAAAGTGCCGAAAATGTTTTTCAATCAATTCAAAGAAAAGATATTATTACTTATGGTGCTTTGATGAAAGGTAAAGTTTATTATATAGATATTTGGAATATTTCTAAGTTTCTATTTTAGGATATGTCGAGAATCAAATGTCTGAAAAAGCTTTAGATTTATTTGAACAAATTGAATTAAATTTAAATAATGTTGCTTATACTATTGTTTTTAAAGCCTGTGCTGAACTTGCTAATGATCGAGCAATGAAAATAGGAAAAACACTTTTGAATAAAATTCCTCAAAATTTTCGAAATGATAATATTGTATTAACTTCAGCAATGCATATGTTAATGAAATTTGGTGATATTAAAAATGCTGAAAATGTTTTTCAATCAATTCAAAAAAAAGATATTATTACTTATGGTGCTTTGATGAAAGGTAAAGTGTATTAAACAGATTTTTGGAATATTTCTAAGTTTCTATTTTAGGATATGTTGAGAATCAAATGTCAGAAAAGGCTTTGGATTTATTTGAACAAATCAATCTCGAATTAGATAAAGTTACTTACACTATTGTTTTTAATGCCTGTGCTGAACTTGCTAATAATCGAGCAATTAAAATAGGAAAAAGACTTCTTGATAAAATGCCTGAAAATTTTCGAAATGATAATGTTATATTAGCTTCAGCAATACATATGTTAATGAAATTTGGTGATATTCAAAGTGCTGAAAATCTTTTTCAATCAATAAAAAAGAAAGACACTAACATATTTGGTGCTTTAATGAATGGTTACAATATGAATGGTTTATCAAAGAAATGTTTTAAGATCTTAGAAGAAATGCTTGAAGAAAATATTTCCCCCAATGAGATCATATGGAGTATAGTTATCGGTGCAAATTCACAATTTCGTTTGCTTTCTCGTGGTCAATATATTATTGATCGAATTCCTCCTGAAATTCAGAATAAAAAACCAATACAAAATTCGTTAATTCGTATGTGGGTAAATATTGATTGTTGATTTTCATCGATTGTTTTATTATTTTGATTAATATTATCTTTTTTTGTGTAACTCACGTATGTTTTTCAAAGAAAAACTAGTTACATAAGTTTTAAGTCGAAGGTTTGCTGTGTACATGCCTCTTCCGATTACATACCATGGCAAAGCTAGTTCATATTACAGAGACTCTGTATGAGAGACCTTGATAATCGAAATCAAATAATAGGTATTCTCTAATAAAATTGTTTATCGGTTAGGTCGATGATTATAATTGTTTAGGATAATAAAGCCAAAGAAAATATATGAGTTGCAGTATATTTTGGACTCAAAAGAACTGTGATTGAAAAGTTTTTTTTCTTTAAAAGGGTAAATGTGGTTCAATTGAAAAAGCACAAAATGTATTTGAATCAGTTGTTGATCATGATACAATGACATATACTGCAATGAGTAATTATATTTACTTTTATTCATGTTGTTTTTCTTAAATATTAGAAAATTTTCTTTTGAAGTTAATGCATTCGGTCTTAATGGAATGGGTTTTGAAGCTATTCAATTATATAGAAAAATGCCGAATAATCTACATAATGAAATTTCACATATTTGTGTTTTAAATGCATGTTCTCATTCGGGTCTTGTTCAAGAAGCTTGGAGTCTTTTTAATGATATTCCTTTAAAAACAGAGAAAATTTATACTACTATGGTTTGTTCTTGTTAATTTATTTATTATCTACAACTAATTAATATTTCATATTATATTTAAGGTTGATTGTTTAAGTCGTTTATTTCTATTTGATGAAGCACAAAATTTAATAAATGAATATGAAAAAACAAATAAACCAAGTTTAGTCATGTATAGTTAGTATTTTTTTATAATATAATATTGATGTTTTGTTTATTTATTTACTTTTATTTTAGCATCGTTATTATCCGGTGCACGGAATAATCGAAATCGCAATTTATCTGGGAACATATATAATCGAATGAAATTTTTGTTTCCTAATGAAAAGCAAGATCTTGTGTCAGGAGTAATTCTTGTTTCAAATATATATTCGTCGATGGGAGAACATGAACTAGCAAAAACTTTTCGATATAATCAAATAAAAGAATTAGGAGCGAAGGTCAAACTAGGATTAACATGGACGGAAGTAAAGGGTCAACTAGTGGTAAAGAAATCTTTATTAGATAAATAAAGAAAATATGTTATTTCATATAGGAATTCACAGCTCATGATCATTCTCATCCAAAATCATCAAAAATTTTTTCTGAACTTGAACGTTTAACATCCGAAGCGATTGTACATGGTTATGAGTGTGATCCTTCATGGGTAACTCGTCAATTAAAAGAAGGAGAAACAAATTTATCTGTTCTATGTGGTCACAGTGAAAGAATCGCAATTGCTTATAATTTCGTTGAAGAACCAGATACAAAATTTATTCAAGTAACTAAAAATCTTCGTGTATGTGGTGATTGTCGTAAGTTAACTTGTTTTTTTTTCATTTTGATCATTTTCAATAATGTATGATTTTCGTTTTTATATAAGACCAACTGACAAAAATAATAGCAAAAATTCGACAATGTCATATTATTGTTAATGATGCTAACCGCATACATCATTTTAATCCAAATGGACAATGTTCGTGCCAAGATCATTTTTGAACATTTTCTAATAAATTTATTCTGTAGAAAAATGTTATTGTTTAAAATTGTTGATCTTTTTCTGGTAGATTTTATTGATTAACACAAAGCAAAACTTATTATTTAACACTTAGTTGTTCAATTGGAGAAATCTTTTTTTTTTCCTGAGATTCAATAATCTATGGTAACTAAGATGTTTTAAATTCGACATTGAATGTATAGGATTTCGCATAGAATGATAGAATTGTGATTTTCTCTATGCATCTACGATATTTTAAAGATTTTGAATAGTATTATTGACGAGGAAATTTGGCTTTGAAAATCAAAGATATGATTTATATACTATAGAAGAGCATTTTTCAAAGTAATAACAATCTTCATAAAATATTTCTTGTTATTGTCGACTATAGAGTTAAATTCTAAACAAAATTATATAGTTTTCAAATGAAACTGCTACAAGATTTTGAATCCGAAAAGACAAAGTTGATATCAATTTATCGTGAAAAAATAATCTTCTGTGTTTGTTGTGACAGATGTTTTTATTGAAATTTTAATCTGAAATTTTTGTACTTTCATCAACAAATCTAGAATTATATAGAGAATCATCTGTTTCTTATTTGGTCCTATCGCCTCTATCACCAGCTCAAGTTCAATCCATATATTCAACGTTCAAAGCGTCAAGTTGACTTTCAATATGACTGCTCTGATATAGACATAGTTTTTGTTAAATCTACAATTTTTGGAACTCTTTGATATTGTTGGGAACTCGAATTGACATTGCATATAGGATAGGAGCAGAATTTCTAGTGTCATTGTCGGAGGCGACATTCCATACTTCTGAAGTATGAAGAAGTGTAGGGAAGTATAGAAATGTTCACAAAAAGATGAGACAGTTTTTGTTAGCTTAAGGTATTTATTAAAAAGCAAAAGTAAAGAAAGTCATAAGAAATATATAGCATAAAATATTTCATTGTCAGTTACAGAAATTTATATCATTAAAACTCTATTTTGTTTAAGTTTTTTCTATTTCTTATCAATAATCGATTATTTTGATTCATTTTGTATGTCACTTTTATATTTTCTGCTTAATTACTATGCACTGATATTGTTATTTTTCACGAATGTTAATATTTATATTTGTTAGTTATTCAGCATGATTCATTTATTTTTATCATACTTGAAATAAGCACCATTTTCTTCTTGAACATGTCAGTGCAAATGTCAAGAAGTATGTAAAACTATAGAAGTATGTTTTTCCCCCCTTGAGAAAACTTCTGAGACTACAAAATATCTATCGAAAATTTTTCTTAGCATGCTTAGATTTTTTCAACAAAATCGATTTACTTTTCGTTAGCGACGTAATGGAGTACGAAAAAAATACTCTTATAAGCGAATGAGAAGTTCAAAATGGATTTTAAACGATACAAATCCTTCTTCATATCTCTACAGCTTGTTCAGCTAAAATAAATCATGTTTGGGCAAAGTTAAGCAGAAGATTTCTTGTACATAAGACGATCGAATTTACTCATTGAAAATTTTTTTATACATTTTCATATATTCTCTATTGATAGATATCATTTATTTTGAATAATACAAAGAATAAATGGTAATCGCTAGCCAAAACTAAATACTTTTTGTGCAAAAACAGTGGAAAACGAGTTATATTGTCTTTTATCATATTTCAAACACTAGCGTATCATTTAAAACAGACAGAAACAACAGTAATATTGTTGAAGTTTGACATCAATGGAACACTTGGTATTGTTATCAAAGCTGTAGAAACGTGTTTTTTTAGAGAATGTAAAAAAAGCCAATGAGTGCGTTGCCATAATGTTTTGGTGACAATTCTTTGTAGGAACAAACTTCCAAAGAAAATATCTGACCATCGTGAGGTCTGTTAGCTTAGCCATAAACATAAATTAAAACATTTTGTTCAAAACGAGAAACTTTCGAGGAGTGTGAGCTTTTTTGAATCACTCTGATGTAAGAATTTCTTTTAGATGAGTATGTTATCTGTAGACAAGCTGTCTAGGTGATGGTAAGACAAAAAAATTGTTGTTTTGAATTTGATCAGATCTTGAGAAAACTAGTTTTTTTAAGAAAAAGTTTTGTTGAAATCCAATCTTGCCAAAAAATTTCACTATAGATGTGACTTGTGTTGTAGAGTCTATTCTGAAGTTTTCGAACTTTTTTTTCTTGTATGATTAGAGAGATATTTGCTAATTACTTTTTAATTAATAGTCAGTTGAACGAACCAACATGTCTATGCTAAAAGAACTTATTTAGAAAATTAATTTTTGTAAAGAATAAAAGTCAAATCAAAGTTTGATATGTCTTATTTTGTCTGACATAGCCTGTATATATTAATAATATTTATTAATTCTCTTCATTTTTTCTTTGATTATAAAAATTTTGAATATCATCATTTGCTATTAATTTTTGCAAATTGTTTTAATGTTAATAAATTTTCAACTATATTTTTTGTAATATGTTTACAATTTTTGATATTAAATATATTTAAACGTTTTAATTTTCGACATAGAGAATGAATTGTATCATCAGTAATTTGTGTTTCACTTAAATAAAGTAGACGAAATGTATTACTATATGAAATAATTGTATTAATAAATATTCTTGTTGGTATTATACTAAAACAACCATTAAAATTAAGTTCAATTAAATTTGGACATAAATCAATTAAATAATTAATGGATTCAGATTTTAAACATGATGAATTTTCAAATGAAAGTATTTGAAGTTGTTGAAAAGAAAATTTTTTTTTGAAATTTTTGTGGTATATGTAAAAAATTTTATGTTCCTGAAAGATTTGTTGATAACATTTCATATTTATTTAAATAAATACCATAAAGATTTGATGGTAAACATGTTATATTTCGAATAGCAGTTTGATTAATATGAAAATCATATTGTGATAAATATAAATAACGAAGATTTGGATAAGATATTTGAATTAAAGAATTTAATTGTGCAGTAAATGGAGGTGGTTTACCTAAATTATTATGATACAATCCACCAGAAATTTTTAATACTTCTGTACAATTACGAGGAAAACGACGTAAAAATTTTAATAATACTCGATTTGAATATAATTTTGATGTTAAATCAATTGTTGTCCAAAATTCATCATCATAAGCAATACGACAAAATCATTTACAAACACTATTCGAAAAAAAAAGATATTAGATAAATGAAAAAAAAAAAAATAATTAACAAAACCTAGCAACACGAATAAGTTCATCTATTGTAAAATATTTAAATATTGAAAGAAGTGTTTCATCAGGTAGTTGAAATATTAATCCATTTTGTTCAATATATTCTTGTTGAAGTTCTTTTTTTCGTTTTATACGAGTATTTAAAGACATTTGAGAGAAATCTTTTAAAAGATATTTCAATTTTTGAGTTATATTTTATATGAGTATATATAGTCATTACTCAAATCATATGAAATTTTATTTGTTAAGATTCTATTTAGTCATCATTGATTAAATTGTCTAATGAAAAATAAAGTGGCAACCTCCTTTTTCTTTTCGATTATGTACGCGATGACGCTACTTTTCATTTAAATTTTCTTTAGAATGATTTGATCTTTTATCACTTCATAATAGCAATAGGAATCGCATCCAGTTGCATCTCAAGATGATCTCGATGTGTAATATCATCCCTTTTCGTCATTCTCATTCTTCAAATACTCATTTTCTTGAAATGAAACTATATGTTCAAGTTCACTTCGGGAGGGTGGCATTCCTCCGAAAATCTAGTTGACCCTTCCTGAGTTTTTTATCGCTCCTCTGAAAGAGAAAATCAGAAGGGTGTGGATGTGGGTGTGAGTGCGCGTTTGATCAAGAGAAGACCCTCATCCACACCCTATCTAAAATGAAATTTATTTCTGCTGTTAAACTATAACATTTGTTCTTAAATTGTTGCCCATAAATGAAATAAAGGATATTATCAAGTCAGAAATGATTCACTGGCAACAATAATCCTTTACGATAATATGAATAAATGAATTTAATTATTACTCTGAGTTCAAGAAAATAAACTTACTTTTGATAACCATTCATTAATGAATGTTTATCAGGTAGCCAAGGATTGCTCAGACTAAAGCTGAGCTCTTGCAATTGTGGATGATATTTAAGTAAATGTAACAGAAAGGTTAGTGAACATTCTCGAAGTACAATTGATTGTAAGTTCAAAAATCTTGTTGCAATCTGCATGAAAGCTTTATTAACTGGTAGAACCATCTTTTTATATACACCGCGGGGAACGAAGGTGATATGGACGTAGCAAAGGAAATGAGTCAAATATTCGTTCATAATATGCACCATCAGGCACACCTTCAAATGTATAAGCAGCACGATAGTAAGTTGAAAAATGCACGCCAAACATGATGAGAGAAGTGTTGGATAAAAATAAATGATGAAGATTGATGAATATAGATAAATATGATGCTAACCATAATCCATTATCAATAGGTAATGTATCTGAGACGCACAATGAAATAATATATTTACATACGTTCGATTGTAATAAATGTATGTAATATAATTTGATCACCGCTATACTCATTCGATTTTGACGCTATCGAAACATTGTGTATGATTCTTATTTAACAGCTTCATAAACAATAATACGAAACTTTATGGTTCTTCCTGACGAGCAACATCGTGATAAAATGGTGGTGTTATTTATAGTCATTAACTTCATACGTCAATGTAACGTTTATAAGAGTCAAAAATGAAATTTTTTACGATAATCATTAATTATCCTTTTTGCTCACATGAAACTCATCTTTTTAACATATTTGATAGCTTTTGTTTTTTGGAATAAAGCTAAATGACAATTATGAATACTAATTTAAGTGATCGTTATTTTTTTTTTACCATACATCGTCCTTTCCATTTACAGGACTATGTTTTTGAATGCTTGAGATAATGAAAACTATAAGATATTAAAATTCTAATACTCTAAGCTGTTTCTTTGACTCGATATAATATGAGATAATAAATGTTGCAGATTCAATTTTCTGTTGTTTTAGTTAGATTGTATCAAAATAATTAATTCTGATTTTAACAGGTAGAAAATTTTGTGTAAATTTCGTTTGTATTCTTTTTACAATTTGACTTTTTAAATACTCTCTTTACAATTAGATTAGATTTTTAGTAGTTAAAAGGATGCAACTTTCTGATATATATATATGTATATATATTTAATGATTTGATATACTATTTAAATCGCAAATGCACTAATACTTTTTTGCTTTGTTTCTAATAAGTGTTATCATCTTTTTAATAATGCATCTTTCATTTCAGAGATTTGATTGTGTATTTTTTATTTGATACAAAAAAAATTATAAATAAAAATTTCATAGAAAAGAATATTATCAAGAAAACTTAGTAACATTCTGATTTATCCCAAAACTTAGTATTTTCGATCAATTATGTATCTCGGCCTTCTCCTTCTTGTCTTATATTAAAGTCATTGATTATTGTTCGAAAAGTTTTTATTTATCTATTCTTTCAAATAACACGTTAAAGAAAATGTTTATGAATTCCATTTCCATAAATAAGTAACTACCAACGATCATCAATGATTGATGTTAAATAAAGTATAAAATTAATATTTTGATTTTCTTTTAATCGTAATAATGAAGGAATAATTAGAATTGCAACATATATGTGTTAAATCCATTGAATAAAGAACAAAACGAAATTGATCGTTTTTATTTTTAATAACAAGATCAAGTTATGAACCAGATAGATTAACACGAACATATTAAATATCTAAAATAGTAATAATCAAAATTAAATAAAAATCAAAATATGATTTATTATATTTTACCATCATCATCTTTATTACTAAGTTTTCTTTTGACCAAATTTTTATTAAATTCTATTTTGTTAATGAAACATATTGTCATATAATTTCTTTTCGATCATGACAATAAATAAAAATACTTTTATCTTGTACAATATAAGTCAAAGAAATAAGATGATTTGATTGAGTACCATGAATTTTTTTAATCGTAGTATTTATATCTTATTAAAGTATTTAAAAAAAACAATAAAAATAAAAAACTAATTACATACTAAAGTACGATTAACATTGTATAAGATAAGTTCATCTTTATCATATATAAGAATTTCATCTCGTTTTGAATGACATGCCATAGCACAACAAGTTAATGCAAAACTATACAATTTTACAGATACTGTTCACGATAATGAGCGACGAACTGTTCAATAAAACGTAGGTGTATCAAGTATATTTGTTGAAGGACATCTTTTAAGATCATAAATTGAACCTGTTGTATTTTTGTTCTAAATCAAATAGGTAATAATCGATTAGACTGAAAAGGATCAAATCAAACTTGAATAGATATTGGTAAATATGTTTATAAATGACTAAGAGAAAGATCAAATAATCTATTTTACCTGTATATGTTGAACATGTAAACGAATATCGTCTGTTATTAAATTTTATCGAATTGTATCTCTGTTATACAAGGTTCATTTCAATTTACCGATGGACCTAAAAAAACACGTGTTATTTAAGATCTTATCAGTTGCTTTATACTTACAACGAAGAGTAAAAATTTTTCATTGATGTGGCATTGTTGCTTTGGTAAGGTATAACTTTCTATTTCATTCATAAGTTATAGTACTATTAAATTTATTTTCAATAGTACAGGGTGGTAAATAATATTATTCAAGGAGGGTACCGCTATAATTTCAAGTAGAAGATATGATGAATTTTATACCAAATGAAAGCCCGTGAAAAATGGGGTTTATTGGTACTAAATGATGAGGGTTATGAAAACCTTTTAATGTCGACCTAAATAAATTTTCAGAAATTTTATACTTTTTTTGGAGTAGAAAAGTAAGGTTCCAGTAATTCAAAAACGGAATAAAATGTTTTTCTTGGATATTTTTACATGGTTCGATAGAGCTTGTCGAGCTTTACAAAACTGTATATATGAAAAAATTTTCTGAGTCATTTTTTTGTGTTAAAAAATTCAAAAACTATTTGTAAAATCTTAAAAAACGTTAAAAAAGTCATACTTTTGATATGGAAGAAAAACACCCGAATTTTCAATATAATTAGCTTTTTTTTGATTATTTTTACTCTCTGTGGCGTTTCGAAATATGCTCATTTGATGCAGCGTGAAAAACTGCATCGAATGAGTATATTTTCAAACATCTTACATAGGGATACTAATGGAAAACAGCTAAATTTAGTGTAAAAAAGACCGTTTTTTTTCACTATAAAAAGTGTAAAAAATGTGAGTTTTTTGGTACATTCTTTGGACAGTTTTCAGTGAATTTTAACCCAACAACTCTGTTTAAAAATTTTTTCATATATACAGTTTTGTAAAGTTAGACAAGCTCTATCGAACCATGTAAAAATATCCAAGAAAAACATTTTATTCCGTTTTTGAATTATTGGCACCTTACTTTTCTACCCCAAAAAAAGTATAAAATTTCTGAAAATTTATTTAGGTCGACATTAAAAGGTTTCCATAACCCTCATCATTTAGTACCAATAAACCCCATTTTTCACGGGCTTTCATTTGGTATAAAATTCATCGTATCTTCTATTTGAAATTATAGCGGTACCCCCCTTGAATAATATTATTTACCACCCTGTACATGTAATTGAAAAATTTCGACGTAAACCATCGTCGCAAAGAAACAACAACGCCAATAGATAGGAATGTGAAGTCTTTTTTAACCCAGTCTGGTGTCTCTTGACCAGGTGTGGCTTCATAGATGTGGACAACATGATATGGGACACTCATCTGAAATGTAATATTATCAAAAGATAACACATTATTTTCCAGGTGGATTATTTCTATTTTGAGTATGAAATTTTTATTCGAATTTCTCAATCATTTCCACTATGATTTATCATCAATCACAAAAAACATTAACAACTTTATAAATCAATCAATCATAGTGAAAATTCATCAATTGTTAAATATAATTATCTTATTACAGTTGATATTTCAAAAGTTCATGATGATTATAAAGAAGAATTTTTATTTAATACAAATATATATTTTCATACTAATATTCTTCTTTATATCAATGATTAGTCATTAGAAAGAGTGGCACACAAGTTTACCAGGGATGATACATGAATTAATTATGTTAAAATAAATGAAATTTATTTATTCGAAGGAAAAAATGATTCAAAATTTTTGTAAGATTATTTTCCTTTTGTAATAATACATTGATTATTACTTTAGTAAAACAAATTTATTATCTTATTGAAAGATCAAATATTTCAAAAAAAGCAACAGAAAAATATTTATCTAGAAAGAAGTCAATATAATCATGTGTGAAATGCTCTTATCTGTCAGAAAACTGAGTTTTATTACTAGAAATCACTGTAAAGCAGTTTATTTTTCCTTAATTTGACTAACATATTTATTTATCAATATGAATGAGAGGAAACTATCACTAAAAAAAGATCATTTCTAAACTGAATTCGGTGGTGAAGTAGCCTTATTCTTACCAAATAGCCTAGAATAAATTTGAACAATCAATAATTTTGTTTTCCTCACCTGATCTTTTTCACATCTTTTATCTAGACACTCATCAAACGAAACTTTTCCTCAAATCAAATCATTGATAAGGGAGCACGAAATTTTCTAAATGCTGTATGACAAAGTCAAGTTCTAGTATATCTTGTTTTTTTTCATGCAAACACCTATTACTCTGTGCTTCAGAAAAGAACAAATAGATGTCAATAATGAAAGAATGTTCTTTACCAGACTTTCTTAAAGAAAATCTAAAACTCTTTTCGTCATGTTTGTTTTTTTAAATAAATAAAAGCTTTCTAGAGATTATCTACATAAAAGTTCATTAAAATAGATCTGTTAATTATAAAAGTTTTTACTTTGATAAAAAAAAATTGACTAAGAGTTGTTTTAGCTTCAACCTTAATTCAATAAAAAGATTTTTTTATAAAAACAATTGTTCACTTAGATAATAATTTCATGTGATTGACAATTATTATATTTGTCAAGATAGAACTCTTAATTGATATTTGATGGAAAAAAAATTTGTTCATTTATTATTGAAAATTTTTCAACTAAAGAATATTGATCATTGAAATTTATATTAAAATAAATAAAAATATTTGAATAATTAATATAAAATTTTACTAAAAAAATAAAAAAAAGACTACATTCATCTAATTGATCAATAAATTAATATGAATTTTTTATTTAAATAATCAATTAGAAAATGAACTCAAATTAATTCATATTAATAAATTTTAACATTTTGTAAAATCAATAATTGAGAATCATATTTACACTTTAAACAGTATCGAATCGAAAATTTACAAATGAGGTAAATGATTCCATTGTTGACTAAGAGAAAAATATTTTATAATAAATATAACAGTATCAACATGCAAAATCGAGCTTTATCTCAATGTCAAACAAGTATGGCTAATCAGAATATAAATATACCAGCAACGTTTGTGTTTTTTTTTATAATCTATATTGGTAATAAATTAATTAATCAATTTTTAATTGTTTTTTATAGCGCTACTTCACGGTTCGCAAACTCCAATTTATGCAACTTTTGGTTCACCAACATCTTAGTATTAAAATATGGTTCGAATAGATCTGCTTTCAATGAAAAAAAAATTCTAATCTCTCTTTCGACACCTTTTCATGATGATTCAATGACTCTAGCTGCTCATGATGGTGCATTAGTTTCATACTTGTCAAATTTTGTAAAACGAATAGTTTCTTTTCTTTATTTACAATTCTTGAACACTAACTTGTGAGTGTGATATATGGATTGAGTGAAGAAAAATATTATTCTCATATTCAATAGAAATGATGTTTTGCCAGTTTGACATACAAAGCAAGATAAACCTTATCTTAATGATTGAATAGAGTTTGATAATGCCTACTTCAAACAAGGTTACTATTTGCGGAAATCAAATGTTCTATTGAACGCATTTTTCTACAATTATTTTCTCTAAATATTCTTACTTCTAGTCGGTAATTTATACATATGTTTTTTTTGTTGACTCTCATGTGCAAGTGCAAATTTATTTTTCTTCTCTCTTTTCTCCATTCTAAATCATTTTATTTGAAGCACAATAATCACATTTTAAAAACAAACAAATGAATTTTTTTCTAAGCTGTTATTGAAGAAAATGTTGAGTAACAACCACAAAGGATTACTTCTCTCGATAGTAAAGACAAAAAAGCAATAACTATGTTTATGAGTTGTACTTTTAATGAAGAACGGTAACGATTGATTATTGTGGATGACTCATAAGAATTTCATAAATTTCTCAAAGTTATTTTAAGAGACAATCTATTACTCGATCGAGAAATCATTTCTTCTGAAAAATTTTGCTTTACATCTTTTCGATAATACGATATAAAAGAGCATATAAAATCTACCTATATATTCAAAATTTTAGCCTTGCATTAATGTCTATTGGCTAAATATGAAGAACATATTGAACATGACACAAGATCCTTAAAAATCTTTCCTCGCACTGAAAATTTTTAGCAACAATGTCGATCTAAAATCTAATAAAAATACTTCTTAGTTTAATTATTCAACAGACGGTTGGTGTGGGTCGGAGTATAGGTGTATGTCTGATCACATCCACACTAACAGTATTACATTACTATTCGTCGACCTATGGTCATCATGATAAAATCCAATAGTATCCACATCATCATATTTTTTAAGAAATTCTGATCTTGCTTGGCTATCCTATTGAAAGAAATCAATTGAAAATTCATGTTCGATTTAGATAACAAAATATACTTGGCATAATTTTAGTATAAGTTCAAGAGCAATTTTTCTGTCAGACTATCGATCGGAATCCAAGAATCATATGGATTTCTTCAATTAACCAGCATGACCTATGCAAAAAAAGGAATTTTCAAAACTATTTCTTCTTTTTCTTGTTTTTCTTATGATTCATTCTACTTATTCGACCAATACGACGAATATCAAAATCACTTGTATCTGGTAAATCATACTGAACAACAAAATCAATAAGACCATTTGTAAATTGTTCTACAGTTTCAGTTCGTTGTTAATGTGTTTGATTTTCATGGAATGTTATACTCATGAAAGTTTTTTGTAAAAGTAATGCATCAATAGTATCAGCTGATCGCTGTGTTTCAATAAAATCAAACAACGTTCACATCTTGTTTCTTTGTAAATGGTACTTCTTCTATTGTATGTGCTACATCGACATTTGCATTCTCATAGGAAAAAGTATAATCTTCACGAAGGACATATTTTGCTAATTGCTGTAATTGGTTAGAAAATGTTGCGAAAAATATCCATGGAACACGTTCTTCTTGTGATGATAAACCAAGACTTTCTAATTTTCGTATATCAAATTCCAATTCTGTATCTAATATTCTTTAGAAAAACAAAAAAACCGTCATCAAAATTAGGTTCAACACCATCGGTGTCGTTTTACATACCGATTAGTTTCATCTATAACGAGAAATTTCACTTGTTTTTAGTGAAACTGAAATAAGGAATTCTGTAAAACTTTGAATACAATCCACTGAATTATAATTTTACTTGAACTTTTCCCACCATGTCTTGAAGACGATCCGATACAATAAACATATCATGACCATCAGCAGTAATGGGATGTAGGTGCAAATAATAATCAGCCGGACATTCGACGAGAATATATATTCTCGCTATACGTTTATGAAGGAACTTACATGGTACCACAGCAGTTCGATATGTGATTGTTCTTGCTTCATCTCCTGTTTGTAAAACATGTTGGCATGTACGTGATATAATAAGGGAAAGTGGTGATGACGGATGTTCTCTATTAGATAATACATCAGCATGACATTCAAGTAAAGGATGAGTAGCCGTTAAAAAACAAAACTTACTGATCTATCACATCCAATTTGAGCACAAAACCAATAAATCACCTCGTTATTGAAACCTTCAAAGTGAGCAAGACAAGTATTTGATACATTTTGTGTGTCAACACTAGCTTCTTCATTTAACTCAATTGGTTTGACTTTGTCTAATGAAATATAAAAAAAGTCATTGTTGAACTAAACATTAAAAATAAACAAAGAATACTATATTACCTAATAGTAGATAACAAATTTATATTCTAGGAATATTTTCAAAGTCTTCATTCTTTCTTATTGCTTTAATAAATATATCATCTGTATTTGTCAATGAAGGTGGTGGAAGTAATGTTTAATTGGATGATCATCAGCTATAGAAAAAATGACTTCTATTATTTTTCTATCTTAATTCTTATATATATTTATGTCAATTGAAAATATCATCAAAAACCTATACGAATGATTGAATTTTTCTTTTCAAAAACTAAATATGTACTTGCTCGGTTGTTATCTTTTTTTTTGACATCAGAATTATAGAAACTATCGCCATACTCTCTGAAAGACTAAACAAATAACACATACTATATATATATAACCTGAATATACTTACTTTTGCTATCATTTCCAAGACGAACACTATGATTATCTAGCAACTAAATAAAAACTATGGTTCTTCCTACTTATTTAAAATTATCTTATCACGAACATTGGATATGAATTGTCCTCTATATGGAGCTCAATGATTGATATTGAACAAATTGTTTTTCAATGTAGAAATATAGATGATGATTTATGAAACGTTGTACTCGTCCGAGACTCGTCAGACACTGATGGTTTGCAATTATTTGGCGAGGACACCAAATCAGCACTGTGTTGATTATTTTTACCTCGTGTATCTTGAAGACAAATACAAGCAAATTTTTCATATTTATTTAGTTTTATCTTACGATGAGCAGCTGAACTGTTTCGCTTTCTAGATACGACTGAAATGCCTCCAATAGACATTGCATTGTTCTATGTAGATCATAACAATATTTTTGTTCTCCTCGGGGCATTCTATAACTTTGTTGTTTTAATTTGTACATAGTTTCTGTTGTTTGATGACAACAATTCAATACTACGATTCTCAACATCTGAACTCAAAGTAACATAACGTTCATTATCAATTCCATCAGGTTCATCGTGTAGATCAGAAAATTCTTGACGCATTCGGTCAGTCTTGCTCTCTTGGATGCATGCCTCGCTGACACTTGCGCAGCACAGAGGTTCGAACAAGCTCTTAGAAAATCGATTTCGTTACCATTTATACAATAAGGAAAAAAGCTATGCATTGAAGAGATATTAATGGTATTGATGAGTGTTTCTCGAAAAGAGTTAATACAACTGTTGTGAACAAGTGATACGAATAATTCGACTCATGCTATCGAATACGTATCATGTGATTTTTCTGTCAGAGTCAAGTCAATGCCGTCTAAATAATTTTATGGGGACTCACTCAGGCTTGCAGAGATATCTGTTAATGTTTGATGATCTTAGTGAAAGTAGACTTAAGGAGAAACAAACTTTTTGATTTATCATGCTGTAGTTTGTAGATATTAGAGTCACTCAACTGTCGCAAAACTAATTTCTTACGACTCTTGCTTGTAAGAAAAGTCATATAATCAAATTAGATTTCAATCCTTGCTTCAAATGTTTGCCAGCAAACAGATATATGTAAAAGTACAAGTAGTAAAGAATATTCAAAATATATTTCATTCGAACTCAATCAATAATAATCCTTAGTATTTATGTGTAAAACGAGAATTCATATGTGAGCAATAACTGCTCTTTCAGTTCTAATAATGTTTATATAATATTCTACATTTATGTGATTGATAACGAGTTATTTTCTAGCAAGTTAGAACATATATAAGTAATCTTAAGTCAAAATAATAAATCAACTAGTAAAATTTATTTTTCAAAAAGACTTTATGGAGAAAAATTTGAATGAAATCATCGTATCGTTAATACATGATCTCCTCTTGTAAAAGATTACTAATACTATATGATTTTGTAATGTTGATGGATAAAAACACAGTAATTCTCTATAGGGAGTTTTTAGTCAAGTCTCCTGAAAAAGTTTCGTGTCCCTGTAACAAAACTAATTTACCAATCTATATGTCATAACTACACTTACCAGACAATAAATGGATGCAACTGATGTTTACTAAATGTGCAGAATCAATCGAATCTGAATCTTCTGTTAACTTCGTGTGATTTCATTTCTTTTCCTGAGCGATCTATATTGATTTCATCAAATTCATTTTCTTCACGAATCTTCTTTCACTCATCAGTTAATTGAGATAATATATATTCCATTTCACTAAAATGTTGCATATGCTATTCAATCAATATTTGTCTACATTCCTCTGCTGCTTTCTTTAATTTTTTGAATCGATTCTTCCTCCAATAAGTTCACTTCCTGTATAAATAATAGATTAATGAGTGTTTGACGATATTCTTGTAAATGATTATAACAAAAATCTTTGGACTTTGGCTGTGCCTGTCTCTTTTATTAAATGGTTTGACGATGAAAATCACATCTACGTACGGGAATATACAGAGCAGATCGAAATGAGTGAATATCTATGATGTGAATACATACAGATATAGACAAACAAAATGAGTCAATGCCAGTTTTATTCTCTCGCTTTATTTGTCGACGATGAATCACGAACGAATGTATCCTACAACAAAGTTTTCAGATGTGTGGAATACATAGATGGCTAAGAACTAATTCTAAAAACTGAAGTAGAATGTCGAAATGCATTAGTATTACTGTTTCTCTCGTAATCATTTATCATATCCTGTTATTCAACAAAAGTTGAGAATGATTGCATAATAAGATAGACTCGACTGTTGAAAAGAATTTTTATGAAATTTTTAAATCGAAAAATAATCAATAGAATAATAAAATAACTTATAGATCGATCATTACCAACAATAAAAAACAAATAATATTCAACGTCTAATCTCAGAGAGCTATGATTCAAGCACAAGAAGTGGGAAAAATCTAACACATAACTTTATCATATGCCGAAAAGATTTTCATATGAGGGATTAAAATAGTTAGTTTTTGAATTTTTGACCAGTGATAGAAGTGCTTCTATTCTTAGATAATAAGGTTAGCATTAAGCTAAGAAAATAAAATTATAGGGTTCTGTTGTCATGCTTAAATCAAGATACTTGAATTTCAGGATTTTTACATCGTATATTAAATACTCACAAATCAAAACTTTAGTAGAATTTTTTCTATTTTTCTTATAGTTGAGTAGAGCTCGCCAAGTTACATAAGAAAAAGTATATTTCAAATGCAAAAACCCAATATTTTATGAAGAAAACCAAGATAACATTATTTTCAGATATCTTAAGAGAGAAATCTAGAATTTTAATACATAGGTAACTGTTTTGCATTTGAAAGATTACTTCTTCTCGTGCACCTCGATGAACTATATCCGATCATGATAAAAAAGAAAAAGATCTCTAACATTTTGATTTGTGAGTACTTTAGCTATGGTATGAAAATCTTAAAACATGAAGTTTACTTTTGAGATCTCATACTCTACGTTATCGTGAATAAATTGAAAAAATTTGGAGTCGTGCTTATTTAACTCAGAAAGATATGGAAGAAGAAACAGACCATACAAAAAACATTAAATCAAAAGGTGAATCACATGTTACTAAATAATAGATCATCTTCATTTCAAATGAATCGAATTTTTTTCTGTTTTTCCTTATCGATCGGTGCTCGTTGTTTGAAATGAACATTAAAACAGAGAGAGAAAAATAACGTTTTTCACTGATCGTTCGTATATAAGCAGTCGTAATAACAAATAAATCTATGGAGACTACAATAAATATGCAGTTATCTAAAGATAAAAAAATAATTCTGAATCAAAGCCTAGAAAATTGTATCTCATTCATAGGAAAAGTTGTAAAAGACGAAAAATCTTGATTGATTGTTCATGAAAAAGTTATGCTTTACTATTAATTAGTGATGGATTGACTATTGATGAATATAGATGTAACGGAAGCAAAAAAAAACGAAAGAAAACATTTTTAATTCGCAACTAGATAGCTCCTAACATAATAATGCGCTTAATTTCTGCAAGATCTTAATGATTTCTTGGTTATTTATTTAGAAAATGCCTTAGAAAAACTATAATTTTTCATGAGCCTTTATTTAAAAATTTAAAGTAACATGAATTGATAAACAAGAAGACTGCTTAGAAGTGTCCAGATCAATTTTCTATATTGGAAACACTTAAAATATGAAATTTCCAAGTTGTTGCTTTATTATTTTCACAGCTTGAAAATCATTTTATCGATCGTTTTGCGTAATGTATCGCTATACGTTTCCTTTTTCTTTTCTTAGTATATTCTCACATAATAAACTCTTCGAATTTTTGATTCCATTGTATCACTTTACTTTATCCAGCATGTTCCTATGTAGAAGAATAATCTGAGAAAGAATGATTCACTATTATGGAATGGTATATTTTATCTTATTTGTTTTCATGAAAACAAAGTTTGAAGATACGCTGTTCCAAAATAAAAAGTTTATCTTAGAGTCTT